GGATGCCCATTGGTCCATCCTAGAAACCACTCCTAGCAAACTCGGTGGCTACACAGATGTGCACTTGTGAAATATGCGAGCGGTACAGTCCCTAAACATTCGTAGTTCGGTCCGAGGTTCGAATTCCGTGAACGGGTTAGCTGCATGGGCTTTTTGTGGTTTTCCCCATGTGTAACGTGTTTCGTTACACAGTTTCTCTTAGAAAGTCCTTTCAGTTTCCCTTACAAATTCTTCCACGAAGGCATCCCTCCGTTCCGTGTAGTGCCTTAGGGCGGAACACGTAAATAATAATAATATGTAGTTAAACAGGAAAAGTATTGTTACGGATTTTGTATACATGTAAATAACTTTAGTGAAATTTTATGTGAAACTGTAGTATTTTTTGTATAATGTGAGCAAGAAATGCTTGAATGAGACGATGCTCTGCCGGAAAAATAAGATTACAGCGGGTAAGTCTGTTTAACATTGAATAAATGGCTATCTCGCTTAAATGGTGAGATATCACAAAGCTGGCGAGAGTTTTAGCGGCTAATTTTTGTCGCCACATTTGGCGAGAAATCTCAAGGTGTAGCCAAATTTGGCGACCTTTGGCGGCATTTTGATTCAGTTGATCCCTAAATGTGACCGTATTCGGAACCCATATATCTTCCAGTAATTTCGAAAAATGGAAGGTACTGAAGATTTCTCGGCGGCTGGTATAAAACTTCTATAATAATAGAAAGAGCATCAGTTTCTCAGTTGTTTAGTTCAGAGTGAGTTTAGAGTATTGAGAAATACCCGTGGGAGCTTTCCCTTTTTAGGTGCGCTTTGCAACGTGCTGTGCTTAACTTTCATCTGTGTTCATCGTGCTGTGTTTAATTTGAAGTATAGCTATTGATTGTGCTCTGTAATACTGAGAAGAGCTGTACGAGTATTTTTGTGGGATGTTCCAGAACTGTAAATGTTTCTTTTGGTAAAATAAACTTTATCAAGCTACCATCGATTCTGTGTACATTCAATCTATTACGAACCCGTGCGCACGCAACAGTATCATATCTGCTGATTGAAAAGCAAATAAAAACAACAGGTAAGCCCACAAAATTTCAACAACGCATATATATTTCAACATTATAAAAGCCAATTAACATAATAAAGATATATTATTTTAATTATTTTCAATGAAAAGGTATTTCTACGGCACTTTTATATTGAGAAAGAGCATTGTGTACCTCGTATTACTTAAACACACATTTCTGCTATATATGTTCTTGAAACTTAATTCTACAGAATTTCGCATAGATTTCACTGTCGTTTTCTTAATGCAATAACTTTCTCCCCCGATCATCCTCTATGAATGCGACAGTAATCACGATTCATCTTGAAGAATTGCATTTTCAGATATTATCACAGGAAAACGGTTTATCTTAAGAGATATAGTCCCATCACCACAATCTTAAAAGATGTATTTAGTATACCAGCCATTAAGATGCCAATACATGATGTTAGTCCAGAGTTAGGGCACATTAATAAGACAATTTTACATTGGCAACGTTAAATGATACACAGTTTGTTATTTGGTTTGATATTGGAAAAGTCTTTCTGCTGGACACTGTAAGATACTGTTTAAGAATTCTTTTAAAGTGAGATAAAAGATCACACATTTAACAACTTTAAATAATTAAATTTAAATAATTACCGAAATACAGAAAATATGGGGGGGGGAATTGTTCTCCGGAGTCAAAATGATGGCTCGATCCAGCTCCAATCGATAAAATATGTATATTTAGCATTTTTTTAATTTTATAATTTTGATGATCTGTAACTGATCTATCGCGATAACCCAACAATACTGTTAAGAATAGATTGCTAAGCAACTTCTTCTACAAGCATTTCCTTTTAAAAAATTTCTATGGAATCAAAGATGCTGATGAAGCTAGCAAATTGTTTTAAATGATACTGATATTATAAACTAAACTCAGTGACGAAACACCCTTTATCGGCCACGGCCTGCAGTGCCCTTTTTCTGCTTTCCTGACCTTCGGGCCCCGGAGTGCATCAGCATATGCCCTGGACAAGTGGTCAGTTTGTCGCAGCCCCCAGCAATCGAAGTGCCACCACACAGCTGTCCAAAGAGTAATGACTGTTTGCTCACCTCCACTGAAGAACGAAACCTAATCTGCAGCTTCACCATTTAACTTTCCATGGAAACAATCTAAGGTACTCATATGATTCAAATATGATATTAACAGGATGCTCCTATCTAAGTTATCACTATTTATTGAGTGATGATTATCAATGCCAGTGCCTCAAACGCAAAGCGAGTAGTGAACTTTAACTACTATCTGATGCTCATTATCAAAGTGCCTCCAGATCTGCGCACATTCTGTGCACATTGAACTCATGCACATGAACTCTGGCAAAGTAAACCTCGCAAAATCTGTGCACAATCACACACGAGCCACCAAACAAAAACAAGCATTATAACTCGCATCACATTCATTTCCCAATGCTAAGGTATTCTCCAAGCACACCAAAAATGTCAAACTGCAACCCTAATTAATTGTAACATGTTATCTGCATATTGATTCCTGTATACCAATAGATCTGTACTCGATACCTGTACCCAGTTTTATGTATAAGTGTTCTTCCTATGTAAATAACTTGTTACTTTAATGTAATTTATTATGTCAACTGCGTAATGTAATGACCTGAAATGTAATCTTTTGTCTTAACAAATGCCAGAAAAGGTTAGTGCAGTGAGGCAATACCATTTTTGTCTGTGACGATGTTGTGGTGCCCCCTGCACTTTTTCCTGTCCTGTCCTGTCGCAGCCCCCCCCTCCGGTGTTTAGTCCGGGGATCGAACCCCCGGACCTGTGGTGCAGCTGCGCGTCGCGCTAGTCGCTTCGCCACCGGACAGTCACTGATATTGTAACGAAAATAATTGCAAAGTAGGTATGGTCATAATTAAATTAACACGTGATCTAGATTTCAGAAATGAAACAGGAAAAGTAACGCTGATAAATAAATAGTGTCTCATTAATAACACATGGTGCGGAACTTATTTTTAATAATATTATTCTGCAACTTGTAGAGATTACTATATTTTCGGAACCGGAAACGTTAAAAATCAACTAAGCCCTCGCCGGGAATAGAACCGTTGGTTTTGCAATAGCTGGCTGGATATGCTAACCACCTTCAAGGGAGAAAAGATGAAAGATGCTTATAAACTATCTTTCAGAGCATTAAGTTTATAAATAATTAAAAACAGAAATCTGTTTCGAAGTTTCTTAATATCCATAGGGTTAAGAATTCCTTAAACGGAAAGGTTAAAAATAAAAATTAATTAAAATGAAAAGTTTTAATTAGTACATTTAACACAATAAATAAAGGTAAATTGAACTCATTTACATGTGCACAATTTAAGCAAAGAAGTAACAAAGCAAAAAAAAAAAAAAAAAAGAGAGAGAGAGAGAGAGAGAGAAAGAAAGAAAATGGGGAGGGAAAAACCCTGAATCGATATTTTAGTGAATTTGTTTCTTAGTTTCACAGAAAACAATTTAATTTCTCTAGTTTTAAATTCAACTTTTAGTTTGAAAGAATGCTTTGCAGATATATGATTAAGAACATTATCAGTAATAGTCCGAAATGTGGAGAGGGTATTTAGAACACCCCAATGAAGCCACTACACTATTTTAGTTTTCCTTAATTCTAAGACACATTCCTCCTCACTTTGTCACTCACTTTGCCCAACCGACTATGTCATAACACTGGCATCACCATCAACAAAATTTCCGTACCAATGTAAATCCCGTCATTAATAAAAGTATAATAAAATCAAATCGTATAATAGCATCAGCCGACTCAAACGTCATTATGCTTTCAAACCAAAATTCTCTTGAGTTCTCAATCAAGTAGGAGGCATGCTGTCATTTCCATTTTGTATTGTTTTTTCCTTTCTGCTTGACTGATTTGTTGTGGTGAATATGCTACAGAGGTTTACTGTTCGATTCCATCCTTTTAGATATTTTTTAACTTCTTTGTTTATGTATTCTCCTCTATTGTCTGTTCTTAAAACTTTAGTTTCTTTCCAAACTTGTTCTTTGCCGTGGTTACTAATTGCTTGATTAATGAAGCTAATTAATTAATGAAGCTCTCTTTAACTTAAAGAGAGCTTCATTTTCTTGTACCTAGTAAGTAAATTATTGCGTATCTCGAATAATCGACAAATTTTATGAACTATTTGCATTTTCTCAGTCAATTCTTACTCCAGTCTGCCAGGTCATTATTTTCCAGCTTCTTGACTCCCTCATAATTTCTGTGTCCTAATCTAACTATGCAAAAGATCCATGCTGTTTTCACTTCTTTCTGTAACTGCAATTTTGGCTTTTTTATTTTAAGATTCAATTATCTTATATAAATTCCCTTCTGTTTTAGCGATTCCTTCAGTTTTAGCGATTCCAGTTTCCTTCATGAAGGCATTCCCTCCTCTTAGGCAGTCCTCATATAATTTTACTTACTCAAATAGCCAAACCATACATCATTATTCAAGTATTTGTTTCAATTCAAGAGAACAACAAAAGATTACATTGAAAAGATTTTTTTTTTCAAGTTTCTGAAACGTTATTTTTAGTCTAAAATTTTAAAATTTTAATTTTAAAGCAGATAAATGTTATAACTGATATATCTCATTAGCCTGTAGTTCTAAACGCTTGCTCAGTACCTTATTTTAAAGAATTAATGTCTTGAAAAGCTTTATTTTGGATCTCATTCCAATGCAAACACTTATTTAGATGATTTTACTTATTTAACTTATAATACTTCTTTAACTTATAATACTTCTTTAACGAATGTGTTGATATTTTGTTATTATTTATGAAAAAAACTTTAATTATTAAATAAACAAATCCCAAATAATATTTTTAATATTTGTAATACAAGCAAAAATTTTTAAAACGTTTTGTCAAGTCTCTGCGGAGTTACACAATTTTTCATAACAAATAAAGAGAGCCCATCTGCGACCGAGCGGTAAAATCTCTGATAGGAAATGGACGCTTTCGTGTTTTTTTCCATGTGTAACGTGTAACCAGTTTCCCTTAGAGAGTCCTGCAGGAAGAGATTCCTCCCTTTAAGCAGATAGCCAACGTGTGTTTCGCCATAATCAAATAAACCACACCAATAATAAAGAAAAGTCTTTGGGGATGTTGTCTTTCATTTAGTTGCAACTGTAAAAGGCAATAGTATTTAATTGCTGAAGGTGATTTTACTAAAATAAAATGAATGCTAATTAATATCTTAGCTTTCTAACATTCACAAATTTACAGAGTTTACAACAATAAAAATAAAAAATAAAAATGTCTAATTTTGTATTCCTTTAAATAATTCATATAATCGATTTTATGATACGTACATAAAATTTGAAAGGTTTAATAATATAAAAACAAATTTTGGTCAAAGTTTGAACCTCGGTATGTTAAAAAATTTTATCCCAAATGTCTGCTGCCTCCTCTGCTTTAATATTAGCCTTAAAACCTTAGCCTTTAATTATTAAAGACTTAAGCTCAAATGGAAGAAGCAATATAAATGTATCTTTAAAATGCACGGATACGGTTTACAGCGTGTGTTTAGATGCACGTAATAAAGCAAATTATTTTAACCTTGACCGAAAAGTATAGTTTAGTTAAGGACAAAAGGTCGAACAGTAAAACAGACGTTTCGAACGGAAAGTCTGAGTACGAAATAAATACATAAAAAAAGATTGGCGACCATTTAGTTGCTTTCTTGGGTAGGCGCCAGACTTTTATAGTTAAAAGTTGATAAACTATCTCAAAATACTGGACTAAAACCAGTAAATGCAAGTCCTCGAACATTCTGAAAGCAGCAAATAAAAACAGGTAATAGAAAAATTATGTAAGTTATTAACTCACAAAAGTTCGGATTTAAAACCGTTCTAAATCACGATAGGTCATTATTGCCTAATAATTACATATTTCCTTTATATATATATATATATATATATATAATTTAAAGTTAAGTTGTTACAAACGATAAAAGACCTATGTGGTCAAAATTTTGCGCATTGTGCTGCAAAATTAAGAAAATTAGAAGATAAATTTTAGTACGCACGTTAAAAAGTTACCAAAATCTGTGGCTCCACGAAAACTTCAACATAAGCATATTATATAAATGTGGATATTATTTAAACATTAAATGATACCAACGACCTCTAACATTTCTTGCAATATAATGGGTTAATAGTACTTTTGTGAATTCCTGATTGTCTTTGTGTAAAGTGAGAAGAAATAAATACATATATATATATATATTGGCCTGCTGATGATGATAATAATAAAACTTTGTAAAGTAGTTACACTGCAAAGTAAAAAAAAAAAAAAAAATTTAACATTGCAAGTTAAAAATTAAAGCAAAATCAAGTAAAATAAAAGCAAAATGAAATGCTACATTTCTAGTAGCATCTCCTCAGGTGGCTAGTATCGCACAAGAAATGCAACATTTAGCCATGTTTCTAAGATATTTATTTATTCATTTATTTATTGTTATTTCTGAGCTATTTAATTAAAATAATTTTAATAACACTATTACCACTCCACCTGTGTTAATAATGCTCCATTTATGTTACATTGTTAATAATACAATGTTAACTTTATTTTTTTAACTCTGTTTTACTCTGCGACATAAATTTCTTACTGTCTGGAACGAACACGAATTTATTTATTAAATTTTATAAACTTTTATTATTAATCACTAAATTTGTTGCAGCTTTTTGCACGTTACTTATTAGTTCCAGATCTCATATGAACTTAAAAACTAAACTCAGTGGCGTAAGCAGCCCTAATGGGCCAAGGCCTGCAGTGCCACGAAATCTGCTTTCTTGACCGTGAGACCCGGGGTGCGTAAGCATATGGCCTGAACAAGTGGTCAGCTTGGTCGCAGGACCCCCAGTGTTTAGTCCCCAAGCGACCCAAGGGATGAAAAGCTGAGTCGACCTTGCCCAGCCCGAGGTTCGAACCTCGTACCTGTGGTGCTGCTGCGCGATGCGCTAGCCACTGCACCACCGGGCCTCCTCATATAAACTTAATTACGTTTTAAACTGATGACGTCTATGTGCGTGCTTACTAAATACACATACATGATCACCTCCCCCCCTCCCAATAGTTCTTACGCAAAAACAAGATAAAAGGATTATCTGGGCCCACCAGCAGCTGAGCACTAAATTAACGGCTGAAAACTGGCTCCGAGTTTGAATCCCGACGAAGGGCCAGCTGCATGGGCGTTTTCGTGTTTTTACCCATGTGTAACATGGATATGAGTTGGTTTTCCTTGAAAATCCTTCATGGGGTATCTCTCTCCTTCACGGATACCATTGTGTGCGTCGACGTAACCAAATAAAAATAAAAAGTAAGTGCAACTAAATTTTGGGATTTTCTCACTGAAAGGTACTTCAGTAGATGACGAAAGAACAGCTTGGAAATTGCGTGTAATAGTATTTTTAATGACAGCCTCGCAATAATTTTATCACTGTAAAAAAAAAAAAAAAAAAAGGCAGAATTCGCGAAGTAATCACGGAGTAAATTATGAAATATCACAAATTTTCACAGCTTAATATTTATACAGAGAATTTCGTGGTCGTCAAAAATTTGAACAAGCTCACGAAATTCATCGTGACAAGGAGTGCAAGATTGCGCCTATCCTTGGCAAGAGTCTTGAGCATCATACAGGTGACAGTACGACTTTGTTCAGTTCCGCCCCCAATTTTGATGGAGAGCACTCCACGGGGATGAGTCTGAGGGTCTCCCAACCAAAGAATCTCTAAGGAGATTAGATATTCTGTGTCCCAACCCTCTTCCCCTACCACACCAACGTTTCGAAAGGACTTCCGGCTCGCCGCATATTTAGAGTGCCCCAAGCCGCAAAAACATTTACAAACATCTATGCCTCCTCCGATATTCGAACCCGGGCCCTTTGTACGGCAGTCAGCGTCACTAACCACTATCCCCCGGTTGGGAGGCATTTTGCACATTTTAATTAATCAAATACTGGTGGCCTTTTCGCGATCTAGAGTTCCATTAACGTAGTCAGCTACTGAATACATTAAAATACATGTTCTAACGTGAATTTAATAGCCTAATAATATCTAATAATAAATATTTAAATTTAGGTACAGTACACTTAAGAGATTTTTTTTATTCAGTAGTACGGTTTTAAATTTAGGAGAGAAATATTCTGCATCCGAATATGAAACTGTTTGTGGGCACTGAAAAGTTACGGAAGGTATGCAAAATGTATGCATGTTTTTATAAGATGTCGAACAAAACTAAAGAGGGTAATAGTTTAAGGTTCAGAGCTATCGTTTATATTTTAAAGCAAGATTACTTTGCAATGTTTTCGCATAAGTTCGTATGGAAGATAGGACTAAAGTCGTTTAAAAACATGAAAAACTGTAAATCAGTTTTAATAGATTTATTTTATTTATTTATTTATTTTTTCATAAAAGGAAAAGTTTGAAATAAGTGGATATACTCAATATTCGCGAAATCACAAAAAATTCCCTATTATAAAATATAAGGCTAACATTTGGCTCCCTTCGAGTAATTTCAAATATTGTGCCATTTATTACATGTCGTTTATATTATTAAGAATTATATTTACCTATTTTAAAGTTGTTACAGTTTTAAGCAACGTACTGTTATGGTTTTAAATATAAATCAAAGAACTTATGCGGCGCAATTTAGCAACAACTCACAGAACTGGCAATTTATCAAAATGCATGGCCACAATCTGATGCGAAAAACGGAAGGGCTAAATTCTGCAGACAGACAAATATTTTCGTTGCTTACGTGATTTTGCTCACGAGATGCTTCAAAATGAATTAAGATGGCACGGAGACTACTGCACTTGCGAATTAATTTCTAATGCCATCACACTTTCTAAGACCGTATTTGCTAATTGCTTTCGGGGGTTAAGGTGCATGTTTAGTTCATTTAAAATAGCCATGTTCATTAAATATCATCCAACTAGTTCTTATTTCCAAATAAGGCACTTGTACATTTTTCTGTTAAGCCTTCCAGATAGCTGAAAGCTCTGTAATTCTGAAAATGCACAATCTTTCAACTTAATAATTCTAAAAAGATGACAAATGGAGTTATTCAATACTGGGCTTTTTAAAATAATGCTTAAAAACCAATTTCATATAGATATAAGAGCCGTACAAAAATTATCTTAAGTAAGTTCAAAAGGCAAGAGAAAGACTTCAAACGCGATGCCGCATCAAACGTGGAGGATCATAAAAATCATAATATTTTGACACCTCTATCTTTTGATAACATTTATCGCCGACTCGCGGCGCTGACTAACATATAACATAGACAGCGTCACTTGGATCTCAGAACAGATCTTTACCCGTCTGGTTGAATTTTCAGAAACAGTTCTTTTACAGTTTCAAAAAATAAAAAAAGAAATTCTAAGATAAAGAACTTTTCTCAAAAGTATAATCTTTAAAACATTTCCATTTTCTTTAACTACAAAATATTTCCTTTGCGTCTTTTCGATAATAAACCAATGAGCTAAAATAAACAAAAATGCAACTGCATTAACAAACCGAAAAGCAGGCAAACCCATTACTACTAATTACAGACTTCCGGCGTTCAAAGGATTCGGCTTCGAACGATGTCCCGGTGCTCACGCATTTGTTAAATACTTAAAATATTGCATAATGGTTCTGCAACAACACTTTTCGTTGAAGGAAGCTTGTGTTTACCAACCTAGCTGATCACAAAATAAAGTTTTAGGAAGATTTATATCCATTATCATACTCTAGAAACACCTAGATCGTCATAAAGCAGCTACTTACATTTATAGCCCAAAAGCACTTTAGTCCAAAATGGGCTATTAGTCTCGAAACGTGATTTGCAGCCCTTCAGATTGTTGCAATGCGATACTATTATTGCTTTGTATTACATTCAAGTAAATTAAATAATGAAGAATCTGCATGAATATATGTATGTTTCTCGCGCGGTCTTTTTTTTTTTTTTTTTTTTTAATTTTAAAAAACCGACGGTACCTAGGGCCATCAAATTTTGAATAACTTAGTCCTCCATCCGAACATGTGCACCTGGAAGCCCTAATTTTGAATTTCGAATTTAATATTTCATAATTTTGCAAAACTTTAATGAATTTTTAACAGACTCAACGATTTGAAAGGGAGCAATGGCAACACTGTACGGATTAAAACATTGTTAGCTCCAGCATACTAGACTGTCTATCGGAAATTCTAATGTTAATGCTGTTTAAACATTCAGCGGTTTTGTCATTCAACTAAATTTTATGTGGCGTAACTACGAAGATCGTGATGTTTAATTCATAAATTTAATACACAAAGAGTTAATAATGAAAAAACAACTTCCTCCCAAGCCATCTTACTACAAAAACTGTAAACAAACAAACTACAAAAACATTGATAGGATAAACTGAGAAAAGACTGAAAAAAATAGAAAAATGTATGCCAAAACTTCATCGAGAATTCTGAACCCATGTTGCTTTTAGAATTTTTGTAATTTTGCTGTTGAGCTGTATATGAGGTAAATACGAAGGAAATTATGCTTAAAAAACAAAGCTAAAAAGACAAAAAAATATGTTAGCAGGAGTGAGTGTAACAGCAGACTGGTAGACTGCGAGGGCGTAGAAAAACCTTAATAAACCCTTTTGGGTGATCGTTAAAATCTGAGCTCTATCGGATTTTTTTAATATTATTTATTTTATTACATTACAGTTTGACAGATCAATGACAGGGCTTAAAATTATATTTGCCGCAACATAGAAAGAACGCAAATCTTAGGCGTTGACCTTACAAATTTAATCTTAGTAACACGGGATATTTGAAAAAGGTGGTTGCATTTTTTATTTTCTTAAATGTTAGTAGTCTCAGATACGTATATCTAATCACACATTTCGAAATGAATTACACTTCAAACGTTAAGGAGTTAGAAAAACCCTGTTAATAAAAAATTTAAGTTTTTATAGGGTTACCGAACAGAAATAAAAAAGGGAATTATTGATGATTAAGGGCCAAATATCCGAAGACTATCTGCTAAGAATAGGGCTGCTAGAATAAAGAACAATTTTAATTACCAGGTTTACGGACATTTTTGTATACCTATATTTATGGATGCCCGTCAAAACTGACGAATATAGGAAACCACATGTTTTCTTTAAAGAATTATTAATTTAATATAAAAACACTAACAATCTTAATGCTATAACCCAGTCTGGCGGATTTGCTATTGTTTTTAATCGGTGTAAAAAAAAAGTTAAGGTAGTTTTAGTGTTAACCTTAACTTATAAACTTAACAGTCATAACAGGGCATCTTCGCTGACACTAACTTTTCTTCCAAACAATTAGTATCTCCTCTTCAAGTACTCTTGATGACTGAAGAAAGGTATTTCGTCAGAATAAAGTAAAACTATTCACTAATTCTGCAATGATATTGCTAATACTCGTAATAATCTAATACATTTTTCGGTCGTTTCTACTCGCATTAACTGAAATTTTTTCTGAAACTTCTTGACACACTGAATCGCGCTCAACAACTGCAGATCATTCCTTAAGTCTCGAGGCTAAAGCTTTATGTTCACAATTTAGGCACGTACGACTGACAGATAATCACACGCGACATATCCCTTGCTCTGTCGAACCTCGATGCGTTGATATTAGGTTCGAAGTTATCGAACAATATTTCTATTGAATCATGATTTTTATTTGTCTGCGCTCTAACCACTTTTACATTTTTCACCAGAAAAATAATTTCAGTAAAAATTCAGTTTATTACGAAAGCTTACCCGTCATTTTGACAGGTATACGTAGAGATAGGTATACACCACTCGGAACTCTAAAATTAAACGGCTGCAGGAGAAATAAATTATTATCATTTATTCATCATTACATTGATAGTTGTTAGCAGAAGTTATAAAACTATAAAAGCTATGTTTCTTGTAATTTTGCTCATGAAATCCGAAAATCCGTCAAAAGGACGAGTCCTGTAATTCTAGTGTTAAGAAAAGGTAACTAATTTATGTTGCAGATAGAGAGAGATAAAAATACGAGCCCCTTTCCCCAATCCCTTTGAAGGATTTGAACCTACCAAACTATTATCTAATCCGAACGGCCATTGGTCAAGGTTGAATTACTGAACTGTTCATTAGGATTTTTTTAAATGAAATTAAAACGATTCCTAACAGATTTTCATTAAATATAGTAGAAAGAAACTTATGGGAAAAATTTTATCAAGCTATCATCGGTTCTGTGTGCATTCAATCCATTATGAACCCGTACGCACGTTAAAATTGTTGGTGTCAGAAGTGGGATTGGATGTTGGTTAACAAGAGTGATGAAGTAGCACCTAAGACAGCTGGTGACAGCCTTTGCTGCATCCAAGAAAAGATTGATGGAGCTATCTTTTCTTGTAAGTTCCGTTGAAGCAGAGATAAAAGCGAGACAAGAAAAGATGGAAGGAGCCGTCAAGTCAATTTAAGAACAGATGTGCGCATTCATTTCGTTAACAACCCGTACGTACGTAAAAGTATGCATGGAACTACAGGCCAAATACAGTTTGGAGATACAAACTACATTTCTTTGCACAGCACTTAACTGTGTCTGAAATAAACATTTGCATCTCTTACACTACCAATCCAAAAATTGCCGGAGTTTAATGAAAAGAAGATTAGATGGCAATATGACATTTGTTACACAACTATACACACCATTACGCGCAAAAATTCTCCTAACAATTTTTTTCCCTCGAAACATGAATCATAATATCTTTCACAAATATGGCGCTCGTTATACGTTCATAAATGACAGTCTCTGCAAATGCTGAAAACGGCCTCAACACGTCAAACACTTAACAAATAATTATGAATGCAAGGCATAAAGAAACGGATGCATTTCAACTGTAAATAACTAGCTACACAAATAAATGAAGTTGCGCAGGAAGTGCTGGTACTCAATCGAACTGCTGCAATAAGCCACTTATTAATTAAAGCATAAATGACTCATATTACAAAATATAAACTAGGCCTATCGAAATATTTGACATTCATTCATACGTACGTAAGGGTCACTCTTCCCACCTGAAACTACCTGGTTGAAAAAATACAACACTATAGGGATGTAAAACAGCAATTGTTATTCCACAGGGATATTATTTATCTCCACTATGCGAAATTTTTCAGTATTGTAATAAAATTTAATTACACTCATTCAAAGTTTTTCATGAGATAAAGATGTTAACATGATCAAAATGTCTACGTGCATTCTTGAATATTTCTAACGCAAACAAAGAAAGTTGGAATTGACGCAAAATTAGAAAACCCATCAAATATAGCATTAAATCATTTAGTTTCTTTACTAAAACTAGTCGTATAGCAGCCATATTTTTTTAAATAATTCTTTATCATCAGTTATCGCAATTTGTAAAATTAATGACTTGAGCACACATAAAAGCGAAATAAGCGTAGTAAACTGTAGTGAAACAAATCGAAGCTTGAACTTCCAACAATAAAATAAGGTCTCAATTTCATAGAATTAGGCGATTTAAAATTACTCGAAAATAAAAATAAGCTATGTTACCTGTAAGAAGAATGAACGGCAGGAACAACCTGAACAAACAGAATACTGCTGCCTTCTTCACCTCCATGTTTAAGAGGTGTGTGTTCTCAGTTCCTCTCTCTGAGAAGTTTCAGATTTTCGCCCTCATGCAACTGTAAAACGTCAAACAAATATTTTAATATAATGAATTAATAATTATAAAAAAGCCATACAGTAAAATGCCAAATTTAAAATATAAAAGAGAAATCAATTAAAAGAAAATTAATGCAAGTATCATTTCACTTTCGAAAAACATTTGTTTATCAAATACAAGGCTCTTCTACATAGAACAAATTGCAGATTATATAAGAAGTTAGATAAGTAGAACCTTAAACACAGATTCCACTTAATCGTAAATACAAAAATAAAACAAAAAAAAGGGGGGGACAAAAATGTGTTTCAAAATAGCAAAATTCTGAATTACATAGTAGAGGAACTACAATATATTTTCTATTATTAAAAAACAAAAAATATACATTTCTTAGAAATACAATTAATGAAAATAAAATTTTACCTATGGAGGATTAACTGATAGTTAAAAAAAACCCAAGATGATAGTGCGAAAATGTAATTATGGAGTTAGAAACATTTTTTATTAATTATAATAACCCTGTAAATATTCATAAACATCATCACGTGGACATATCACAAATATTAAATGCGTTTTTCATATTATATCAAATGGACAGATGATCAAAATAAGGATTTAAATCATTCAAATGATCATTTATTATTTTCAAATTTCCCAGTTTATTAAGAAACTGTTAAGATCTAAGACAAATCAAAGAGCTTATGCTACAACGAATGGCAACACCCTTGAAAGTGGTATTTATCAGGTCGCGTAGGAGATAAAGACCTTATGATCGGCACAATGACAAATACGGTAAAATTGTGTAGACGATAAATGTATGATAATGTAATATCGAGTCACAAAAAGTAACATAATGTAACATGCTAAAAAAATTTGGACAGATTCCTCTAAAAACGTTTCTAACGTTTCCAAAAATCATGACTTACATCATGCCATAAACTCAGAAGCTTTATGTTAACTAAGCCATTTTCTTATTTAAGCTGTATCAGGCTGTGACAACCTGTGGGTCACTGGGTGACCCATTTCATAATTTGAAGTGACCCACTTGAGTTCCGAAAATAAAGTATAATATATAAAAGTAAATTACAAAACATAAATCTGAGATGACCAGTTGAAGAATACCCCTGTAATGGGTACTGTAATTGAATAACTGTAATTGATGCTATATGTAGCTGTAGCCGTATCCGGCCTGCATGTGCCTTGCAGTAATTTTGAGAAGGGGATGGTGCTAGAAATCTCTTGCCCGTCGAAAGAAAACTATATAAGACCGGGTAGAGCATTAGTTTCTGAGTAGCTGTTTAGTTCAGCGTGAGTCGGGAGTATTGAGATATCTCCGTGCCAACTTCGCTCTTTAGATTCGCTTCGCATTGCGTTGTATTTAATGTTTTTAATAGTTTGAAGAACAATTACTGATTGTACTCTGTGATAGTGTGAAGAAGTGTACGAGTATTTTTGTGGAAAGTTCCAGAACTCTGAAGTGTTCCTTTCGATAAAACAATTTTTATCAAGCTATCATCAATTATGTATGCATTCAATCTATTACAACCTGTACGCACACAATATGTTTATATAACAATCTGTATCAATTACCTCATATTTACATTGTATTTACACAGTCTATTACAACCTGTACGCACACAACAATATGTTTATATAACAATCTGTATCAATTACCTCATATTTACATTGCACATGGGAAAAACCACAAAAATTCCTATGCTTCAAGTCTATTTTATTAAAAGATTCGAATCCAAGATGAAGCTATTATTACTTGTGTTCCTAGATATGACGTTTACTTCTTCCAAATACGTTTAAAAAGAAAAACCTTTAAATATACATAGGTAGATGATTTCTTTCTTTCCCTAGCAATGGTCTAGTGGTTAATACCATTGAACACAGGTATTTCAAAACAGGTTCGGAACCCGATGAACGAGCTGGCTGCACGTTTGATTTCGTTGTTTTTACTTCCATGAGTGTAACGTAAAACGAGCCGATTTTCCCTAGAAAGTCCTTCGCGTCCATGTGTCATTTGCCACGTTCAAATAAACAATCTTCCTCTTTTCCCAGATGCTAGAAATATATAAAACGCGTCTATATGCAAGAACTGTGGACCGAGGAGAAAAGGTCGACAGCGGATCAATGGCAGACAGCTCGGCGGTGGAAAACGTCTGCAAGAATTAACCTTCTTGAAAGGTATGCATTTGTTAGCATTTTCCCTCCGCCTATGGGAATGAAATCCATTCATTCATAGCTGTACGTAACCGGATGTCACAAATAAATCTCTTACGCTTTCTGAATTCGAATCGGAAGCTCTTGCCTACACAAGATGCAGCATTCTAGGTTTAGTTTTTCAAAATACTAGAGAAATACTCAAATTAATACAAAAAGGAAAAATATCCTATATCCCCATTTCAGATATACGTCTACACTACTCTTACTTCTACAAAACGGTTCACCTTTTTCCCTCCGCACAACATTCCACATATTCTTAATTAATAGACAGTTACAGATAATTTCATCCAAAACGACTTGTACTACGTGAAATTGATAAACAGGTAACTCAATATACAAATATGCAAAACTGATATAATCATTGTCATGATTCATCATTGTCATTTTCCAATAATTCTGATATAAAACTATAACGCATTTTATCTGTTGATAAGACTAGTTTAGATATGAAATAATATTGCATTAAATACATATAGCATCCTGTCTACTTTTTACGGAAAACATGACAAAAAGGAATGCTTTACATGAAAAATTTCGAAAAAAAGGCTGGCTAATAAGTTACTTAATAGATTATCGTAGAGGACATGAGAACTATCTGCCTTAAGAGGGATCTCTTCGTGGAAGATTTTCAAAGTAACGTAACGCATAGGAAAAGCGATGAAAACATTGCACACAGCCCGTTTTCAGGAAGCCGGACCTGCAGCGAATTACCAGTGGTTAACTATCCTATCTACTCGGTCGGTGACGGGCCCGCTCATGGAATTTAATTCAAGAGATTTCACATACATACAGGAATAAGTGAGGTGGGACACCAAATTATTCACCGTTGGCAGTACATGTGTATTTCCGTCGCACTATTCAGATCCGTCCCAATTTCTTACAAAACAGCCCGGGGGATGATACGAAGGTCTCCGCACCTCTTTCATTACCGACAATTACTCGAGAGAACTTTCGGCTTGCCTTGCATTTTGAGCACCCCCTTGCCTATATTTATAAACATCCATATCTTCTTCCTGAATTTAAACTCGGGCCCATCGGAACGGCAGTGAGCATCATTAACCACTATGTAACCCAACCAGTGGAATGTAACCACTAGCCACTATACCGACTGGGCGTATTCTTGACCCCCCATACATGAAAACCCGACTAACAATGCCAGATCCCCCCCCTTGAATAGAATTAGGAAGGAAACCAAGAATGAGCTCCATGGCTACGGCTGTAGAGATATCTCCTTTCTTTCTGTTTGAGTCTCATTCACTAACAGGTATTTTTTAAATTTTTAGGCATTAATCCATTTAGTCACATTAAAGGACATTGAATCCTCGGCTCCAACCAATGCTAACCGCCCGTCCTCTTCATACCGCTGACGAAATCTTTTTATTTAGTTATCTATGGTCCTTTTATGTTATAGTTTAGTATCTTTATATAAGGAGGACGTTAAATTCGCAGATTAAATACTTTAAATATTGAAATATATGAAAAGTTCTACACAGGCAGTTGTTTTATGGCTTATTAAGAAGAATCAAAACTCGAGTTACATAAATGCATTATGGATATGTATCAATAAAATTTTATTTACATTACGCTTACTTTCACACTGAATGTGTAGAAGTCTATGAGACTCATTGGTATCACTGGATACAATCACTTGTTCATTTCTCATTTAAAGCACATAATAGCAGAGTCCCATAAAAGCGAACGTATACATTTTAACTTCCGAAAGTTTATGTCCAATTTTTTTAATGCGTAAGTCTGAAATTATAAAACATGGTTTTCTTAAAGTATGCATTTACACGGTCCTTTTATTTAAACACTAAACATTTGTTTTAACGCTGTGTTCTTCGAAAACAATACATTGGATTTAAAAGCACTTCCTCCTTAGATAAGAAAAATCACTTCACAAAAATTTTCGGACATTACCGAGGCTGCACACAAAAATTATCTGTAGTAAAAACAGTATATAAATTTATTACATTATTTTGCATCTAAACAGAAACATTATCTAAAAATTCATCTATTCTAAATAAAATTCTCTCAAAATCTGTATTATTTCAGTGTTTTAGAATGAACAAGCCTATTCAATACAAAATAACGTTTAAAATATATAAAATAATCAAAGACCCGTGATCAGTCATATGTGAAAAACATTAAAATAAACAAAGACTGAGTGCTTCCAAACTTCCTGCAAAATTTATCCTGTAAAGAGTATGTAAATCCAGAGAACGGTAAAACAGCAATCCGATCTGCTGGGCATAATAGCCGGGTGGCAAACTTCTACACCAGTAAAAGAACAGAAAACCACTCTTCTATCTCAAAATTTAATGAGAAATAAGAGCTCCAAGTACTGGGCTAAGACAATATTTGTTGACGGAAGGGAATTTAACAGCACCGGTCAAGACGGTCATCAGAGCTAAACATGGAGATCACTCAAAAACTCTGAAAAATTAAACTTAGTTTCAAAGGCAAAACATGCGAAAGAGGTGCTACGATATAGGATTGCATGAGGCTCGTTCAAACCTTAAGATTATTGATGGTGGAAAGGTGGTGATCTTTTAAAATGAAGCTTGATATCATTAGCGCAAAACTTTAAAATGATTCCAAGTTCTATCAAGATAATACTTCTAAATATAATGACGTGCAAATTTGGTTGCCGTTCCATTACCCTAATTTACTCGAAATGTCTACTCAACGTCCATATAATATGCTGAATAACAAACGAGAAAAATTTCGAAAATAACAAATTAACTCTCCCTTCTCACCAAAAAGTCTAATTAAATCCGAAAAGATTAA